GGAGCCCGACCGGCCGCCCAACATCAGATAGAGCTGGGTGTCATCTGCATACTGATGACAACCCAGCCCATACCTCCTGGCAATCTGGGCGAGAGGGCGCATATAGATGTTAAAAAGCATCGGGGAAAGCACTGCCCCCTGCGGCACCCCACACTCAAGTGGGTGCCTCTGGGACCGCTGTTCCCCTATTACCACTCTCTGTCCCCGATCTTGGAGCAAAGAGGCAAGCCATTGAAGTGTATCCCCACATCGGCGAGGCGGTGGGTCAACAACTGGTGGTCGACCGTGTCAAACGCGGCCGACAGATCTAACAACACCAGTGCCGCCACACCGCCTCGATCCAGATGCCTCCGGAGGTCGTCAGTCAGGGCGACCAGCACCGTCTCCGTCCCATGACCAGGGCGAAAGCCGGACTGAAGTGGATCCAGGATAGAAGCGTCATCCAGAAAGCTCTGTAGCTGTACCGCCACCGCCCTCTCAATCAATTTGCCCAAATAGGGCAAATTAGACACCGGCCGATAGCTGGCCAATTCGGTCGGGTCTAAAGTTGGTTTTTTCAAGAGAGGGCGGACCATCGCTTCCTTGAGTGCCGCCGGGAACCATCCCTCCCCGAGGGACTTGTTAATAATCTCCCGTACGGCACCTCGAAACCCCTCGTGGCCTGCTTTAATAAGCCAGGAAGTTCATGAGTTTTTAGTATACAGATTGAAAACTTCATTTCCCTCTTGAGAGTTCCGGCCCCTCTTCCCCCCCCCCCAAAAAGAGCCCTGGATATGCCTCCTATGAATGGGTTATGTATCTCATGAAGTGGTCCTGTATCGGTTTCCTTGATCTCTGCTCGCTATAGTGACTGCAGCTCTGATCACATGCAGAGCATCACATGTTCACACTATAGAACAGCTGTTTTGGTACTTATGTGAGACTTTGGCTGCTGCCACACACGCTAAGTAATCCACTTTCAATCCACTTTCAGTGCACTTTCAAAGTGGAGTTTTACTGTGTGAACTGGCAAAATCCACTTTGAAAGTGCACTGAAAGTGGATTGAAAGTGGATTACTTAGCGTGTGTGGCAGCAGCCTTTGTGTATTATTTGCCATACACTTGGTAATTGAAGGTATGGAGCAAGGCAAATTAGTTGTTTAGCATTCCAATCTGTCCCACCCTGAAACACTGAAGGAAATATCTGTAAACAGAACTCAAGCTCTGTAAAATGAGCAGATATTAAATTATTTTTATGAGTGCTTCTATGAAGCTGGGATTGAAATTATTGCTCATGTATTAACTAACTTCTGGGCAGCCTGGTTCTCTCTAGTTGCCTCTGTGCTATCATCTTGGAAGTGTTTGCAGAATTACTGTGGTAAGAAAAAAAATCACAAGTGTTCTGCCTGCCATATATCATTGGTATTGAATTTACACATGCAGTTTCTTGTTCCTAAATATTCAAGAGTTGCAATTGCAGTGGTCCTGTTGCTAAGTATTTACTATGCTGTGTGCTTTGCTCTCAGGAGAGTTATGGGGGTGCGAACATGTGAGTCACGCTGTTTGTTCAGTGGTTCCAAAGGAGAAGTTTGCTGCATTGAGCCATTGCATGCAAAGACTGAACTGAGAGACCATCCTATTACCCAATACTCTCTGCTGGCAATGGCTTCCTTAACCAAGGTGACTCACTTTTTTAAAGTGTTAAAATAAATACTAGCGATATCCTGAAACATGAGACTTAAAATATCACTACTTTTTCTTTGTACTGCAGATTCTTGTCATCGGATTGAAACCATCTTTGAAGGTGTGGATGACTTTTCCGTATGGTCGCGTGAGTAATTTGATTAACTTATCTGTTTTGGTTCAAATTGATGTGATAATGAATGAGGGATATTTAAGGAAAATATTGGCTTGGAAATGAAGAGCGGGCTTCCATAGGCCTGCAGGAATTTTGTGTGATGATTATATCTAATGCATGCCAGCATAGGGACTGACAGACCATTGAACAACTAGGCTGTATTAAAATAATCCTTGAGCTGGTCCACATCTACATAGTATGGCACACCTTATTTAGCCCTTTATTCTGCTTGTGGTGCACTATAATTTTGAAGCGATTCTTGTATTTAATAGGGAGTTGACTTCTGTCTTTAAAGACTCCTGATTTATTGCCTCCACCTGTGCAAAGTAGGGGTGTGCACTCGGTATATACCAAGCTGAATAAAGATCTGAAAAATACTGAGATCTGAGATCTGCGTTTGGATTTGTTTATATGTGGTTAGAAGACATTTAGAGAGACCGCAGTCTCTTTAAATGCCTTCTGAGTTCACTTGCCGAGATGTACCACTGTGGTGGCGTGACTCAGTGAGTGAACTCAGAAGGGATTTAAACTTTGGTATTTGGGAATACTAATATTTTCCAGGTTCAGTAGACCCAAATCGGAAAAAAACTGAATTTTTTTTTGTGCACCCCTAGTGCAAAGTTTTAAGGCTGTTAAAATCAGTGTGTGTAAAGATGTCTAGCTTTGCATGGAATCCAGCTGGGAATGTAATAAGTTTCAGCCCCACTGCCCAGCAGAGGGGAGAGGGCAGTGAAGGGGAGGAACCTTTTACACCACACAACATTTTGGAATAAAATGTGGAATAAAATGGCTACAACTTTCATTGGTTACAGCTGTAAAAGCCTTGGCACAGCATGGGTCCACTGAATCCTGGCATCAGCTGACTTGCCTGCCAGTTTATGTACCCCATTCCACCCCAGCCCACCTCCTGGGGTGGGGAGAACCAAGGGATGGCAGGCTGTTGAATTCCACAAGGACGATTGCCACTAAGTGGTCTCCCCTGCCACTTTAGTGTGAGGATAACCCGTTGGCAACCCCCAAGCTGGGCATGCCCCTTGAAAATCTGGCAGGCCCCGAGCTGGGCCATGCCCCCTTGAAAGCCTGGCAGCCCCTGTGCTGGGCATGCCCCATGAAAGCCCTCTCCCCAAAATCCCTTAAGAGGATCCCCACATGCTGGGAAAACATCCCCACATGCCGGTTTTCCTACAATGGATCTGGCCCTATGCTGATACTGCCCTAAGGTTGTGACAGATAAATGAAGCAGAAAACATCATGACATGAGCAAACATCATGAACATGAACAAAACCCATGCATTCCGCTATGCGGCCAGGGGCCAGTATACCTTCATGACTGCCTCTCTCTATATGAGCCCCGCAGGAACTTACAACCTACTAATTGTAGTTGCTGGTGGTTCCCGATCCCGGGGACATCTGACTTGCCTCAACGAGTCCTGGCCCCTACCTGATGGAATGAGCTCCCTTTGGAAATCAGGGCCCTGTGGGGCCTATTGCAGTTCTGCAGGGCCTGCAAGACAGAGCTCATCTGCCAGGCTTTCATTTGAGGCAGCAGGTGCCCACCTGCTATGGGCCTCCCCTCCAGTGACCTCAGATCCGAATGGCCACCTGGGAATGAATGCCTCCTTGTTGAAATCTGTTGAGGCACCATTCTTTTACTGAATATTATTTTTAGATAGGTTTTTAGATATATTTTAACTCTTCATTTGTTGTATTATGAATTTTATGATGGAACCTGCCCTGAGCCCGCTTGCGGGGAGGGCGGGATACAAATTGAATTAAACAAATCAATAAATAAACGTGACACCCCCACAGACACACACAATACTTACTTCCCTTCAAGCATTAAGGATGGGTGGGCAAGTGATCTCATGCTGCCAGATGAGTAGGTGGGGCTGGACAGTATGCTTTTAACTGCCCTGGCAGCCCCTCCCTCGGGCCCAGTACAGGCCCCATCATAGGCCCACCTGGGAGGGGGAGGGCCAGATTTTCCTGCCATTGCCTGCCACCTGGTCCCCATGCTGCCCATGCAGCCAGCCCCACCCTGCCAGGATGTGCCAGCCATGCCCCCCACTGGCTCTTCCCTCTGCGCAGGACCACAAATGGGACTTGTGGGTGAGTCGGGCCCCCCACTTGCAAACTGAACTGTTGCTTTATAAATCTTTTGAGTACAAGCAGTATGTGTTATATGCCTGTTACAGAGCAACGGTTTGTCACTAGTTGGATCAGTGAGCTTTCCAGAACAATTTATTTTGCCCATTGAGCTTTCAAAAGTATATGGAAAAAACAAAATTATAGGTTCATTTTACAATTGCATTTAAAATTGAACTATTACGATTTTATCCATCTATGTGACGATTTTACATTTAAAATACTACCTCATTTTTCTGCATCTGGTACCTTTTTCCTAACATCATAGAAATATCTAACATCTTTTATTCTCTAGATGGACCCATCCAGTGTTCCACTGCTGGCTTGGCATTTTGTTGCAGTGCAGACATCTGTGAATCCTGTGCTTGCTTTCTGTCGAGGAGATGTTGTTCACTTTCTTCTAGTAAGGCTTATGTTCTCTGTTAACTTGGAGACTTGCTTTCTAAATAAATGGCCAAAACTCTAGAGGAACATGAAGCTGCATATGGTCACAGGATGTCCATAATTCTATTGTGACATGAGTCTTTTTGCTTGCTTATCTGTTTGAAAAATGCACAGTGTGCATCTCTTATTTATGCATCCTTCCTCCAAAGAGCTCAGAGTGACATTCGTGGTTCTCCTGTTCCCTATTTTATTCTTGCAACAAACCTCTCAGCTTAGGCAGTCAGAAGTGAGATTTCTAGTAGAGTTGAGAAGTAAAATATTGCCAGACCTAGGCCCATATTTTAGTCCACATAGTATTTCTGGTATTTCTCCCTTACTTCAGCATGAGTACAATGCTATTTGCTCTTTTAATATATATATATTAGTGTAATTAATATAATTAATTTAATATATTTATTATGGTGCATTTGAATTTCTGCTTTCTACACCTTATGCTTTGAAGTTCCATTGAGCATGCTGAAGTTGTCTGCCCAGTGTGTATTATTTTATTTATTAAAAATATTTATTTGGTGCACTCTTGCCATTTGATATGGTTTATGTTTTATCTTGATTCTTGAGAACAGGGGCCTGTTGTCAATACTGATGAAATTAGTTCACTTCCATCATTACAAACAGAATGTTTTAGTGTGCAAGGGAGTGGTCAGAGAATAATACACCATCTTAATTCCATTATCAGGTAAAGAGAGATGAATCTGGAGCAATTCATGTTACAAAGCAGAAGCAGCTGCACCTGCATTATGATCTTATCAATTTTACTGTGAGTAATTATTAATTATACTTTTTGAATTCAAATAGGAAATAGTAATATTTTGTGGTCGATTTTTATTTCTCAGCTTTAATGGGATGTAATTCTTTATAGAAAACTACTTAGTAAAGAAGCCCCGTGTACTTTTTACAATTCTTACTTGCTAATATTTCTCATATCTTGCTTCCTGCTCTTGTGATCCCACTGCATGTGGCAACCACAGTGAGATCTTAGACCCAGTGATTTTTCTACATTTAAGACAAACCAAAAGAAATTATTATTTGTGGGAAGTTTAGGGAGAATATGACCTACATGTATAGCAGATGAAAGCATGTCTAAGTGTGAAGGAAAGTGTATTTGTTGCCTTGGCTTCAGTTTTCATTCTTAGTGCCTAGAGGTCAACTTTTCTCTCAGTGGGGGTAGAGGCTGGGATTTTGATATACAAATAAGAACATCTATTCATTTAAATAAAATATGAAATGTTATGTTTCTGGTGCTGATGATCCTAGGTAAATGTTCCTTGGGAAATAATACAGTGTTTGTCTTTCCCTCTCCCCCCCCCCCCTTGAATTTGCACAAAATATCAGCTATACACTGTCATTAGCTGCAGTACTTCAAGAACTAAGGCTTTTGAGGGCTTGTTTGATATTGTAATAACCTGGGGTTTGTGTGTATGAATTGTTTGTCTTTTCCTTGATTTTTTCCCCTAGTGGATAAATTCTCGCACAGTCGTACTTCTGGATAGTGTGGAAAAGCTGCATGTGATAGATCGTCAGACACAGGAGGAGCTTGAGACTGTGGAGATTTCAGAGGTTCAGTTAGTTTACAACAGCAGCCACTTCAAATCACTGGCAACAGGAGGCAATGTCAGCCAAGCACTGGTACAGCTAAATGAGATGTGTGGTTGATGCATGTTTCTCTGGTTGTTCTGATAATCTTCCTATCTGAACTGTGTGTCCAAAAAAATTTCAGCTAAATAATGTCTCCAAAATCTGTCAGATAATTGCTTTTGGGATAGAATAGTTTTTTTGTGTTATCTGTATGGCATAGCTGCTTGAAATGTCATCAGGCGCATAGCACAATGTGCTGCTGCATCATATGATCCCTACCAACCAACATCTTCCTTTGGATGTGTTTCCTTGAGATTAAAAGGACAACTTGTTCAGACAGCTTGTTAAGACAATGGGTGGCATAAACGTCTACCACACACATAAAGTCCTCTGGGCAAATTGAGAAAAGCCTTTTATTATAATGGTTTGCATCCATGATGATAAGAGAGATGCTGTCTGTTCAACTTTAGGAACTCTGTCTAAATCTTATCACCTCCATGTGACATGCTATAATATTTGAAAGTCATTGGGCATGTGGATTGCCTCTCACTATGTCTGTTGTCTGTTGTCCCAGTCTGATGGATAATCACTGTATTAGCACCAGCTATCAGGGATATGTGGAACTAGCGTGGAAAACACTCTGTTCAAATTGGGCTATCCACAAGATAAATGTTTATTAAATGTTACAGCATCCATGTGAAGTCAGCCTTTTCTGTGGTATTGCACACAGCAACTGGAAGATTTTAATTGGGCTTGATAACTAAAAAAAAGACAGGAACAGTTGATCATACTGCAGGTTATGGTGAGGCGTTCCAGCTAAAATTCTTTGTGTTCAAAATGAACAGCAGGGGCATTCATTCAAGGTAATATTGTATTTTTCTAAAGCTTATAGACAGATAAATTGGCAACAAATAGATGGTACTGTGACAGGGAGGGCATATAGAATCTTCATCTTCTTTACCTTTATGAACTCTTTAAACCTTTTCAAAATACTTTAAAGCAATTCTGCCATTGTTTTTTGATTATGTATCTCAGAAAGGGAGGTTAAACTGTGTAGTTATTACTTCTAGCAGTTACTTTGCCATACTTTTACATTTAGTTTATGGCAGTAAATGTGAACTGAATCTGGTAATATTACCTGAGTGTTATAGAAACTGATGAAATTCCTTGCCCCTAAGTGACAAAATCTTCTGGTATCTTAAACTACTTGTTCTTTTTATATTTGATAAACTGGAAAATATCTAGTTTATATTCTGTACTGTGAACAATAAGACAGAAATATATCCAGTTTGTTCCATAAGTGAATGCTTAGCTGCCTTATTGAACCCCATTACTCTAGTGGAACTTAAACCGGCCCAACATTTTCTAGTGTGAATTAATGTTAAGGACTGAATCTCCTGCTGAGCTTTGTGTAATAATAAAGTCAAAGTAAGAAAGAGAAGAGAGAAACTCCTGAATATTTGGTTTTGTCTGGCTTCATTGCCCAGTATTTCTTATACATTTCTTCTTACTAATTGGATATATTAATATTCTGTTATTCTAAGTAAAAATACTTGTTTTTGGTAGGCATTGGTGGGGGAGAAGGCTTGCTACCAGTCCATCAGCAACTGTGGTGGTCAGATCTTTTATTTAGGTACAAAGGTAAGTTAGACCGGTCTGTCTTTCTCTTATCGCTTATTGTTAGTTGTCTGATTAAATGTTTTAACTGATTATCTGCTTCTTGACTGATTTTTTTCCTTTGACAACACCAAAAAAATCTGTCGTTGTTGTCTCTTCCTCCCTTTATACTACTTTCTCCTATCTTCTTGTGTAGTCTAGTCTTCTGTAGCACTCTGGTGCCTATTCTGTAGAAGACTGCCTTCAGAGAGGGTCACCAGTGTGGAGGGAAGCTGCCTTCAAACTCAATTGATGCTCATAATGGATGCAACACTATAGGGATGGGTTGCCCTCTCTGGCAGTCACACCCTCAGTTGCCCTTACTCATCATAAGAAAGATAGCTGCACTCCAACTGTTGGGAGCTACTGGCTGTGTGCAAGTCTTTTTCTGCTTTTCTGCCTAGTGATCAGGCAAAATAGTGCAGGTGGTCACAGACCATACAACCACCATGTAGTGCATAAACAAACAAGGTGGTGCTGCGTCTCGCCTGCTGTCTGTGGTATAGATGCATCAAGTACACCATTTTGCTGATCACCATCCACATGGCAGATAAAGACAACACCTTGGCAGATTCTCTTGCCCCATGAATGACACTCACCTACAGTCAGTGTTCCTTCTCTGGGACACACCAGAGGTCAGCCTCTTCTCTTAACCAAGCAACATCAGGTGCTCCAGTATAGGTATCAGTCGCTGCTCCATGGGAAACACTTTTGTATTTCATTGGATGGTATGCTAGTTCTCCTCCCCGTCTCTTTAGTACCCACAGTGCTCATCAGGAAGGTAGACAAGAAAGCAGAATCCATCCACCTATCCACTAATTTCCATCCTAGAGCACCTGTTCCACCTATGTTCTCAAAGCTTGGCATGGTAATTTCTCAAAGATCATCTAGTTATCATCTCAGCCTTATAGCTTTTCATTCAGGACAATTCTTCACCTAATCTATGGTGAAAAAATTCCTCGAGGTCCTCATTAGTAACACTGAAAGCTGTGTGGGACCTTCAGGTGGTCCTTGCCAAACTTATGGGCAAAGCATTTAAGCAAGAAGACCCAGTGAATTCTGAACTCTGTGCTTAGATACTCCCTGTCCCTACCCCCAGATCCATAATGACAACATAGCCCTGTGCCCAGACATTGCCTTTCTGCCTAAGATGGCTCATTCTTTCATCTAAACCAGGATCTCCTCTGTGGAAGCTGAGAGAGATCAGTACTCCTTTGATCTACAGAAGGTAGCATTTTTTTTTTCTGGACAGAACTGCCTCCTTTAGGAAACAGGTCTGTTCCTATGCTACTTGGACCCAAGTAAAGGGCAAAGAGTGTATTCCCAACAATTCAGCTACTGGTCGCAGGGAGCATCAAACTCTGTTGTGAACTGGTCCACAAACCCATTTCTGGGACACTCAAAGCTGATTCCACAAGTGTTGTTCTTGCATCTTCAGCCTTCAGCAGAGTAGCCACTTCTGTCCAGCCTTCCACCTTTGTGAGGTACTATGTCCTTGATGGTGAACCATGAGCAGACCCATCCTTCAGAAGGTAGTGCTCAGTGTTCTTCCTAGGTGGACCTGTCCTGCCTCCAGGTCAGTTTGCCAGTCTACACTCAGTGTGATGCGCAGACACTACAAAAGTAAAAACTGGTTACTTAGCAACAGATGTTCTTTGAATGAACATGAGGGCATTCACATGTCCCTTCCAGCATACTTGCAAAAGATGCCTTTAACTTGCTGCAGCATACTTTACATTTGAAACAAATTGAGTGAGAAGGCATAACTCTTCCACTTTGGGCATGTACAATTGTAGCTGCATCTCTGAGGGTAGAGGACTTTCTTGCTTAAATGCTAGCACAAGTGCAAAGCCCATCAATGTGAATCTACAAATGACCACTCAAAGAATAGCAGCTACAAGTAAGCAACGTGTTTTTCTCTTATGATATCCTACCAAGTAGATAGATCTAGATGGGTAGCTGTGTTAGTCTGTCTGTAGCTGTAAAAAGGAGCAAGGGTTCAGTAGCACCTTAAAGACTAACAGAGATATGGCAGGGTATGAGCCTTTGTGAGTCATTGCTCACTTCTTCAGCTGTATCTGAAGAAGTGAACAGTGACTTACGAAAGTTCATACCCTGCCACATATTTTGTTAATCTTTAAGATGCTACTGGACCCTTGCTCTTTTCTCATCCTACCAAGTGTCACTCTGACTCCGTGCCTGTTCATAAGAACCAGCCAGCAGTGATTTAAATAATTGCCTAAGGGAGGTGTTCTTGTTCTCTGGAGAAATTCCTCAGCCCTAGAGAGGTTCCCAGTCTTTGCCTTTCTCGTATGTTGAAGGAGTAAAAGACTTATCGCCTGTATGGCTGCGAGAGTTGGACCATAAGGAAGGTCGAATGCTGAAGAATAGATGCTTTTGCAAGGAGATCAGATCAGTCAATCCTAAAGGAAATCAAATCTGACAGTTCCCTGGAAGGACATATACTGAAGCTGAAGCTCAAATACTTTGGCCACCAAATGAGAAGGGAGCACTCACTGGAGAAGACCCTGATGCTGGGAAAGATTGAAGGTCAAAGAAGACGGGGACGGCAAAGGATGAGATGATTAGACAGTGTTATCAATGCAATGAGCATGAAGTTGAGCAAACTCTGGAGGACAGCAGAAGACAGGGGGGCCTGGCGTGATGTGGTCCATGGGGTCGCGAAAAGTCAGACTCGACTGTGCAACTGAACAACAACAAAAAGTCTTCGCTTATAAATGATTCCCAGAAGCTGCCCCTCTTCCAAAAGATTCATCATCATCATCATCATCATCATCGGCTGCCTCTCTTCCACAAAAAGCACGTTCTCTTTTGGTCTAGGGCCCAAGGCTGCCAAGTTAGCACCAGATTTTCTCCTTAGGGAAAAACAAACATGCAGACAGGCATAGAAGTAGACTTTAGATTCTGTAAATAAACTTTGTAACCTTCAGAGGACTCTCTGGGAGAATAGGAAGATTAAATAAATAGTTCTTCCATACATCCCATGATATCACAGGTCCATATTTTCAAGCCATTTGCTTCATGGGTCCTAAGTTGGGTAATAGGTTACTTGATCCAGAGGCCATAAAGTACAGTGCTGCTGATTTACCTGGGGAAGTCTTGTAAAAGTTGTACAGATCTAGTGACTCCAAATCCCTAGATTCTTGATTCTTATCAAATAGCTGTTTTTAACTGATTGAATGATCTCTGAGCACTAATAAAATGTCCAAATGCTTATCATTTTCAGTATGCTGTGGGGTCTTAAATCACTGGACTGAGCCATATCGCTGTATTGCTGCCTCACCATCATGTTTGCACTCTTATAAGAGTCCTTAAATATTTCTAATGACTCACCCTTTTGCCTTTCTCTGCTTTCAGTCTGTGCATGTGATGACACTGAGGAGCTGGAGAGAAGTAAGTCATGGATGCTTATTAAAGCGCTAAGCTTTATCACGTGGTGAAAAGAGGAATGCTGTTTCAAGACTAAATTTAAAGATTATTTTTTGAAAGACCTGTGTTTTGTGTGTAATGTTTTACCAATACAAGACACTAAATTCTTCTCTAAAGAATCTCTAAAGGATGGCTGTTTATCTGTTTAAACATCTTGTTTGCTTGCATTGCAACATGACCACTTCCAGTTGGTTCTGTACAGAGGGATATAGGTAGACAGAAACTTCCAAAGATGTCAGGAATTGCTAAAGGGAGTACCATTTGCTCATGAAATTCAAGGTGTGGGGTAATGGGTTGAGTGCCAGACTAGAATCTGGGGAATCCGGGTTCTAATCCCTACTCTGCCATAGAAGTTTGCTTGGTGACTTTGGGCCAGTCACACAGTCTCAGCATTATCCGCCTCACAGGGTTGCTGTGAGGATAAAATGGAGGAGAGGAGAATGGTGTTGTAAGTCACTTTGAGTCCCCATTAAAGAAAAAGGTGGGGTAAAAATGAAGTAAACAAATAATGTGAATTGACAGTGGAATAGTTCTTTCAGTAATGTGCATTGTTATTAGAGAATGGCAGTCTGCAACTGTGCTGTTCTAGTCACACAAGGGGGAAGCTTGTGAGTGTGATTCTGTAGCAGTTGTCTGACATGTTTATTGTGTTGCTCTTTCTGAAATCAAAGGCTGATGGTTTTGATTATATGAAATGGATTCTCGGAGCCCCTGTTTTTGAGGGGATGAGTAGCCTGAGGGGTGTGAGTACCTCTGTGAGAAAAGCCAGAGGGTTTTTTTTCTTACTTCAAACCAAGCATTCTGGAAGTTTTTAGTCAACAAACACTACAATTCCTATGTTAAATGTTCAATTAGTGTGCACAATAAGTATTAAATAACAATTGTCCATATTTCTTCTGGAAACTAATAACTATTTTTTTAAGCGAATAGATCATCTTCTGAAACAAGAATGCCTTAATGAAGCTTTGGCACTTGCTTGGTCCTTTCATGAAGGGAAAGCAAAGGCTGTTGTAGGTAAGTTTTTTATTTGATGCTGAACCATCCAAATAAATTATATGGGTAACTGAAAATATAAACCCTCTCCTTTTTATTATGGGGAAAGTTTGCTGATTTGGAGCTGCATTCATGGTATTCCATGAAAGTCCATCTAATGCACTACTCTCTTTCCTACAGTGACTAGTCAGATGATTTAGGAAAGTTACAATGGGATTCACAGGGATGTACTACTTCTGAAAGTAGAGAAAGTGGAGTTAGTAGCCTTTAATGACTTAGTGCTCCATAAATTTGTCTAATCCACTTTTAAAAACATCTAAACCAGTGGTCATCACTGTGTTCCATGGGAACAAATGTCGTGAATGTTTTACACATAACTCTGCTTTCTTCATACCAGACACAATTTTATAAATGTTTACAACTTTGTGAACCACAGCAGAGGTTATAACTTTGTGACCCACAACAGAGAAGCTTGTAACTGCCTGGTTCAGTGTGTGAACTTATCTACCCAATGTGATGTAGTGGTTAGAGTGTCAGATTAGGATCATAAGAACATAAGAGAAGCCAATGTTGGATCAGGCCAATGGCCCATCCAGTTCAACTCTCTGTCACACAGTGGCCAAAAATACCAGGTGCCATCTGGAGGTCCAGCAGTGGGGCCAGGACACTAGGAGCCCTCCCACTATTGACCCCCCCCAAGCACCAAGAATACAGAGCAACACTTGCCCCGGAGTCCCTATCTATATCTTGTGGCTAATAGCCACCGATGGACCTCTGCTCCATATGCTTATCTAATTCCCTCTTGAAGCCGTCCATGCTTGTAGCTGCCACCACCTCCTGTGGCAGTGAATTCCATGTGTTAATCACTCTGTGGGTGAAGAAGTACTTCCTTTTATCTGTTCTAACTTGACCGCTCAGCAATTTCATGGAGTGCCCACGAGTTCTTGTATTGTGAGAAAGGGAGAAAAGTACCTCTTTCTCTACCCACTCTATCCCATGCATAATCTTATAAACCTCTGTCATGTCACCCCTCAGCCGTCGTTTCTCCAAGCTAAAGAGCCCCAAGCGCTTTAACCTTTCTTCATTGGGAAAGTGTTCCTGCCCTTTTATCATTCTAGTTGCCCTTGTCTGCACTTTTTCCAATGCTATAATATCCTTTTTGAGGTGTGGTGACCAGAACTGTACACAATATTCCGAATGAGGTCGCACTATTGATTTATATAGGGGCATTATGATACTGGCTGATCTGTTTTCAATACCCTTCCTAATAATCCCCAGCATAGCATTGGTCTTTTTTATTGCAGTCACACACTGTCTCGACATTTTCATTGAGTTATCTACTACGACTCCAAGATCTCTCGGTCAGTCTCTGCCAGTTCGGACCCCATCAACGTGTATTTATATTTAGGATTTTTGGCTCCAATGTGCATCACCTTGCACTTGGCCACATTGAACCCCATTTGCCACGTTGACGCCCACTCGCTCATCCTCGACAGATCCCTTTGGAGTGCCTCACAATCCTCCTTGGTTTTCACCACCCTGAATAACTTCATATCATCTGCAAATTTAGCCACTTCACTGCTTACTCCCAACTCCAAATCATTAATGAACAAGTTAAAAAGCATCGGACCCAGTACTGATCCCTGCAGTACCCCACTGCTTACCACCCTCCACTGAGAAAATTTCCCATTTTCCAAGAGAACCAGGTTCAAATCCCTACTGTGCCATAAAACTCACTGTGTGAACTTGAGCCAGTCACTCTCTCTCAGCCTAACCTATCCCACAGGGCTGTTGTGAGGATCAAATAGAGGAGGAAAGAACAATGTACCTGAGCTCCTTGAATCAATGTCATATTTTTGAGATGTAGAATGTAAAATGAGTGTTGAGGCTAACCAGGCTGTTTTTGTAGACATGAACAAAACAGTATGCTTTTTAATAAATTAATTTTTTTAAATTCAAAATGTTTTTCTGATTTTAGTTAATTTCTTTTGTTGAAGTCATGGACATTAATCACAGTGCAAAACCTGCCCTGAGTTGATTTTTAAGGCTTTAGAGGGCTGTAAGCTACATGCTCACAGGGTGCACCTCAAGGAAACTCCAGGTCTCTAAGCACTGGAGCTTTGCACTCCCTGAGCTTGTCAGTTGCATGAATGAACTCATAATACTTAGGAATTTCAGAATGCAAAAATAAACTGAAGGAGATGTGATGCAGTGTAAACATCACAGGCTAATCCTGGGCAAAACAGCTTCAGAGAATATTAAATCGCTGAAATCTAAAATCTAAATTTAAATCTGAAGTGGAAATCTTGCACAGCACTTCTTTTTCAGGTCTTTGACTATATAGTTAGGGAAAAGTAATGACAAACATTTAGAAATAAATATAACTGTAATAATATCTTGAAGACTAACAAGATTTTATTTCAGCATAAGCTTTCATGACCTTGAGTCACTTCTTCAGCATCCAGTGAAAGCTGCAAAGGGAAAATATCATAGACGTTGACATATATGAGACTGGGCAGTGAGTTTGTCTGGAGATTTGGAGTGATGTGTTATCTCAATAATGATGACATCCAGATCCACCTCTCATTGGGTTGAATCCAGGCTAAATGGCTAATTTTCACTGATTCTGCCTTCTACCCCAAACCCCAAACTTGTCATTCCTCAGTGTCTGCTATCCCTACAGAAGCAGCATTCTGGAGATCAGTGGGCTAAGGGGGGAGGCAGGTAAATTCCATTCTGCCATTGGAAAATTTAGTCTGGATCCAACCCTTTCATATGTTCCCAGGATCTTTTAATCGGTTACAGTGTAGCCTTTATAGTTACTTATTTAGAAAAGTTATATGCCACCTCTCCATAGAGCAGCTTGGGACAGGTTTTAAAGTTAAACAGTACAATATATATATATTTAAAAACCATTAAATTATTTATTTAGCACATTATTTATTTATTATTTACATTTATATTCTGCCCTCCCTGCAAGCAGGCGCAGGGTGGATCACAGCACAGTATCAAGACATATCAAAATCTCAAACATATAAAGTATATATATATATATATATAAACAAAGTAGTTAAAACACAACATTTAAATAGGTAAAATCACAACATATAAAATCATATAAGTGCCAGTAAACATAGATGTCAATAAATACTGATAAGTATTGATAAGGGATATTTATTTATTTATTTATTTATTTAAGTATTTTTACCCCGCCCTCCCCGCAAGCAGGCTCAGGGCGGCTTACAAGGGGCATAGCCCAAACGGTATAGCGGTATACTCTCAGCTTCCAATAATAAACAGCCATTGGAACAAGCCATAAAACCAGTTGTTAAGAGCAAGCCAGAGAATAAAACTGCATTAAAAGGATATTTCATAAAAACAGCCCTCAGGCTAAAAGCAGACCATAGAAAAGAGCTAAAACCAGCTTCTTGTATTGACAAGGCTGAAAATGCTGCTTTCAGATTTGTACATGGAATATACTTTCAGTGCGCATTGTAATGCTACTGTGAATAGGGCTGCTCTAAAATATTTTTAAACTTGTTTTAGCATGCCATTAAGTGACTATAGAAAGTAGTGAGAAATTGTTATGAGCCACAGGAAGAGAAAATTATTTTCATTTGCTGGTCATGAAAAGGAAGTGGCTATCTGATTTTTATTTTACTTTTATTTTTATTACAACAGGTTTGTCTGGAGATGAGCAGAAACGAAAGGCTGTTGTCACTGACAGAGTGAGTCTTATTCCTCCAGCATCTTGTGTTTCAGTTGTAGGATTACTGTCTATGTCTTTTGTGTAAGATGCTGGTTTCGTCTTCCTAACAAGAAGCACAATTGTTTGCACAGCAAAAGAAAAAGGTCATTAGGGGTTAGACCAATCATCAATGCGTATAATTTTGATTCATGAAAACTGTAGCTGACCCTTGATCATAGAATCATAGAATGTTAGAGTTGGAAGGAATCTTGCAGGTTATCTAGTCCAACCCCCTACACTCTGCAGGGGTATAGCCAAAAGATAGCCCTACAACATACCTGAAAGATGGCCGTCCAGCCTCCCCTTGAAAACGTCCAGCGAAGGAGCATCCACCACCTCCCTAGACAGTCTGTTCCACTGCTCAACCACTCTTACAGTTAGGAAGTTTCTCCTGATATTTAGCCGGTAACAACTCCCTTGTAATTTCCACCCATTAGATCTAGTCTTGCAATCCGGAGCAAGAGAGAATAGATCCGCTCCATCTTCTACATGACAGCCCTTCAAATACTTGAAGACTGCAATCATGTCCCCTCTAAGCCTTCTCTGGCTTAGATAACTGGCATGTGTCTGTTGACACTTTCAAATGATAACTTTTAGGCTTATAAAGGTGTGACCAGTTGGTGTACAGGGCAGCAGTCATTGAAAGAGAATAGGAACAAGTGTGCTGGCCCCACCTCCCGCTTACAACTAGGTGTATTTGGCCTGCTGCCTTGTCATATTCATCCAAATCTAGGCATAGGCCAACATGCATGTAATATCATCTATATATAGGCTCCATCCATGAGATGGGGAATGTTTGTTCCCATTGGTTCCCTGTACAGGATTAGCACACCCAAGCCAGTCCAGGGATGGGCGGGAATCTTGTACTTTTCAGTACATTAAACAACAAGCCACGGGATGGTCTGTACCCTCTATCCAGAGGTGCACACTTTACTCTCCAATGGTAGCATATATGGTGAGCAGAAGGCACAAGATTTAGGCTTGGAATGCAAGTTACAACATCAGAGACCCATTAGAAATAAGAATAATTTTTATTCAGTACAGAGCATAACACAAACTACCAGAGATTACCAAAATAACAAGCCTAAGGCAATTTGCCTTAACTACACAGTAAAAGATACATATTTACCAAGTTCAGGAACATCCAAACAGTCCAAGGGGTTTTGAAGGAAAATTCCATCTTTGCTCAACCATGTGGTCCAATTCACAAAGCAGTTCTTTGTCTCCCAAGAGACAGCATTTCCAGGTGCAATAAACAGACAATGACAAGAAGGGAGAGCTAAGAGCAGAGCTAAGAGCAAGAGAGCTCATTCCCATCGGGATCGATCAATTATAGCCCAATTCCAGTCACAATCAGCCGTGGCCATCAGCCAATTGCGAGTGGGCATGGGATGTGCCCAATTGTTGGTTGTCATAGCTGCGTGTGGGGATAGGCTAGAAGTTTGTAGACCACGCCTGCAGTCACATGACCCCAAACTCCAGCTTCTCCATTGCCTACGCATGCGGGCCAGAGCCAGGAGCCATCAGGTCTGGCTCTTCCACTTAGAGGTGTGAAAGAATGTGTGGTTATATGGCATGGCTATTGAGGCCATTTGGCCTCACCATTTGGCTTGCAACAGGAAACTAAGACACAGCATGTTATCAAAAGATATCACAGGAGAAGGCATGTGAATGCAGAAAGCAAAATTTCTATACATTCCCAAACATGGAGACTTGAGCATATATGCATAGGCACTGTACCCCATGCAGCAAATGCATGTTGGAATGGTGTGTGTGGTGCCCTTGGTGGTTCATGGAGATGGACAGCATACTTGTTCCCACTGTCCTTTAATGTTCATAGCTCTGTATAATGATATATGTAAAGTTTAGAGTGCTTCTGAAATGCTCTATTAACATACTAATATTAAGAAAGTCAAGTCTTGATAGTCTCCAAAATATATTTAGGAATTCAACATGAAGAAGAAGAAGAGATTGGATTTATATCCTGCCCTTCACTTGGAGTCTCAGAGCGGCTTACAAACTCCTTTCCCCTCCCCTCCCCACAACAGACACCCTGTGAGGTGGGTGGGGCTGGGAGAGCTCTGACACAAACTGCCCTTTTTCAAGAACAGCTGTGCCAGAGCTTGTGACTGACCCAAGGTCACATCAGCAGGTGCAAGTGGAGGAGTGGGGAATCAAACCCGGTTCTCCCAGATTAGAGTCTGCACACTTAACCACTACACCAAACTGGCTCTCTATAAGTTGAACTGAGCACAGAACCTCATAATTAAAACTGAAATCAGTATGTTTTTCACAGAGGTGCCGGTGAGCTTTTTTAGTGCTGCTTAAAGTATTTTGAAGTATGTAGAAAAATTAGTGTAACTGGCTGCTTCTGTAATCAAATGAGTCTTGAGCTATTTTCAAATACTACCCTTCTGTTTTCCCTGTCATAAGTACTTTCCTTTAATGTAAAGCATTTTATAAGCATTCTCTACTACTGTTACCTTCTCCCCACCATAGATGGTTGAAATCCTTATTCATTATGCTGATCGAACTATGAAGAAATGTCCTGACCAGGGTAAAATCCAAGTGATGGAACAGTACTTCCAGGTACAGTACTTTGGAACAGTTTCTTTTTACTTATTTATTTTTTTTAAAGAAAGAGCTACTTTTCTGCTTACAGGTCAGAGAAAAGCAACTACAGCTTATGAACAATTTCAACATAGATTCAAACCACAGTATTGAAATGTTCTTACTCTGCCTACATTGCTATCATCTCATAACAGTGGCTGGGTGAGTGGTGAGACTTCATTTAGAAGAAAGGCAATGGAAAGCCCCAGCGGTCTGTCTGTCCGGTGACAGTGTCCAAGGAATAATGCTTTCCTAATTCCCTGAACTCCCTTATCCTTTCAGTGTAAGACTCACTTCGCCAATTTTCCTGATAGTTGCTACAGCAGTGATAGACACCTAATTATACTTTCAGATTGTTACTTATTTTTTTCTGTGTTCTCCTTCCACAGGATATGGTGCCTGTCATTGTTGACTACTGCCTTCTGCTTCAGCGAATGTAAGTGAGAGCTTGAAAGTGTGCCTATTGAATTCAAGGAGCTTGCCATCTGTACTGACTGCATGAAGGCAGCAAGCTATTCCAGTCCTTTAGGCTGCCTTAATGACAAACCGCAGGTGTTCCAGAAGAAATGTTAGACCCTATAGCTGACAATTATATAATAATTGGGTGTAGGTGAAGCCTTTCTGTATATTACCTGTCCTGAATCACAACACTGCCTTTTCAATAGTTTATTTGCAAAACAGCAGGCTATTAAATGGATGTTCCTCTAAGGTCTCACCTTTTTAGAGTTTGGGTCTGAATGCAGAAAATCTTGTTCTGTGGTGATTTTGTTTAGAAGTGAATGATAGCTAACTAAATCAAATTATGGATGTTCAGTAATATCTCTCTTAACATCTTATCATCTTCTCCTTTTAGGGATCTGTTGTTTAGTCAGATGTATGACAAGATGAGTGAAAATTCTGTGGCAAAAGGTGTCTTTCTGGAATGTCTTGAGCCGTACATTTTGAGTGATAAATTGGTGGGAATCACAGCTCAAATTATGAAAGATCTGCTGCTTCACTTCCAAGATAGAAATTTAATGGCAAACATGGAGGCTTGCATTGTACATATGGACATCACCAGCCTAGACATACAGCAGGTGAGATCAGTATCCTGCATACTTGAAAATTGTTGTGAATGTCTCATTCTGCTTGTGCTCCTTAACTACTGCATTCAGTATATTATAAGTTATATATGACATTGGGCTAAATGGTTTAACTATCCCCCTTTACCATTCTCGAAGAATTGGTGAGGAAACCATCTTTAGTAATCCAGACTCTATTATTTGTTTTAATCCCAGTTCCGACACTTCTAAAAATCCACAAGTGTATACAAATGCTTGTGTTCAAAAACTTGGACTGCTATGCAAGCTGACTCTTCCTGCACCAAAGAAACCAGTTTCAGCTCTGGGTATAAGTAGAGCTGAATAGGGATGGGCATGAACCCAAAAATTCCAGTTCAGTTCAAGGAGGAAGCAGGGGGGGGGATCAGTGAAATGGTCGCCAGCTATTTAAACTTAACAGCGGGGCGAGTGCTTGCAGCCATTTCAGCAGTCCCTTTAGCTCCCTGTCACTTGGAAGCAGGGAGTAGTGAAATGGATGGGTTTAACGGCTCATAGGTATTTAAACCTAACAGCGGACAGGTGGATCCACACAGTCGTTAGATTTAAATGGTTGGCAGCCATTGCAGTGATCCTGAAATGGCTGCCAGCCATTTAAACTTAACAGCGGGCAGGTGCACCCATTCGCTGTTAGGTTGAAATGGCCCGAATAGCTGAACTGAATTGGGCAAGAGCTTGGTAAATGTTTGGGGGCTCTGAATAGAAAGTTTGTGCCAAATTTTGGCTCATGACCTGGTTCATGCCCATCCCTAGTGCTGTATGTTTTCACTCTGAAGCTTTCCATTTATCATACTTCACACATCTATATATCTCAACACTTCCTTTTGTTGTTAGGTTGTCCTCATGTGTTGGGAAAATCACCTTTATGATGCCATGATCTATGTCTATAACAGTGGAATGAATGATTTTATTACTCCCATGGAGGTATGTGCCAAATATCTGGAGTACTGACCAGATTTGAACTAATCTTTTACAATTGTTGTGATCTGCCGCTTTGTAGAACCTGAATCTTTAAATGCTACCTAATTTTAGAATGGAACAGTCTAGTTTTATTCTTCTTCTTTAATTGTAATTGAGATCTCTTCTCTGGAAACTAAGTAATAAGCGAATGGGCCTTTGGAGAATATGGAGTTATGGTTGCCTGGAGTTGATCTTCTCTTTGTGAAATTAATCAATACTGTGTGGAAGCATTGTATGTTTTGCTTCTGGTATTGAGGCTGATTATATGACCATGAGATATAAAAATGGTGAGACTCAACATAATGCTGCAGCTTCAGCCCGCATGGGAGGCAAGGTCAGCTTTTAATTTGTGTTGTTTTAAGAGAAAATAACCTGAAAGTAATGACACATTCATAATGATAAATACCATCCACATAATTTTGTTGACACTTGTTAGGCAGCTAACAAATCTTTTATCCCTAAAAATTAATTATTGTCCAAGTGCATTATTTCCCGTCTAAGTAGAAAATAAACATATATGGGTTGTTTGTGTGATAATGTCACCTTAACTAGTCATCAACATGCTTTTTATTCTGGTGAACCATCAAAACAATCAGTTTTCTTGTGTGGAAATATGTTTTCTTCTTTGGCTATATGGACATTAAGTACCTGTGGGAGTGAATGGACTGTTTGATCACCGGTTATCTGTCCGAATTAATGGTAAAACCTTTCTAAAAGACACTGCTAAATATTATGGAATTGGTATAATTCAGTGTTGTAGTGAGCCCTGATAGTTTTGTGTGGCTATAAGGGCTGCTTAACTGAAAAATTTCCTATAAAGGAATAATTTCTGTGTTGCAAAGTTCATGTGTACCATATGTCGCATACAGTGACCATATATATTTATTTGCACACGTGTGTATTCTGGAAGGAGCTATGCAGATGGTGGGGTTACAGTTTTTATTAAAAATAATGTGGTTGTTCTAATTTGGTTTTTCAAGCTTGGCCTATCAGGGATACTGTCCAGTGCTCACTATTGTGATTGTTTATCTTTCTCCTATCCTCAGTGGTTCCTGTGCTGGTCCTTGCATTTTAATAGCCAGATTAGTGATGTGTCCAGAGAGACAACAATGTATAACGGAAAAACTGCCCCCTTCCCTTTTTGTGTAGCTGGTAAGGCTAGGGAGTCAAAATATTGATAAAGGGAGCAACTAATCCCATACTGGGCTGCCTCTAGGGGGGAGGAGACTTCGAAACATCTCTGCCAGCAGCATAAGATCTAAGCTGTGCTTCTGTTTCCTTCCCCACCCACCCCATAAACAGGCTCTGGGCAGTTTACAGAAGACAGCAAAGTATGCAGAATTAGCATAAAACCATGAAACATTAAAATAATATAAAATATTCTTAATGTTACAACAATAACATTTAAGTTGCTTGCAGTATTAACATAGATGGCGTGAATTTCCATTCCGGCAATCTCCTGATCTTACGGCCAATCCTATGGTCCAGATGGCGTAGTCCATAGTCCATAGTGGGCCAGTCCCATTCCAGATGTTCAGTGGAATAGTTGGTGGTAACGGTGGCAGCGGCGGCTCCTATTTAAAAGCCTGGCGGAAGAGCTCCGTCTTGCAGGCCCTGCGGAACTGTGCAACGTTCCACAGGGCCCTGATCTCCTCCGGGAGCTCGTTGCACCAGTAAGGAGCCGCCACCAAAAACACCCTGGCCCTGGTGATGGCAAGCCTCGCATCCTTGGGGCCTGGAATAGTTAAACGTTGTTGTGCCCCAGACTGTAGTGCTCTCTGGGGTATAAATGGGGAAAGGCGGTCCCTCAGGTAAGCCGGACCCTGGCCATATAGGGCTTTAAAGGTAAGAACCAGCACCTTGAAGCGAATCCGGTGTGCTATTGGCAGCCAGTGCAGTAGCCTAAGCACAGGCTGGATGTGCTCCCGATGCGGGAGATCCATCAGCAGCCTGGCCATGGCATTCTGCACCAGCTGCGGCTTCCGGATTTGGGACAAGGGCAGCCCCATGTAGAGAGCTTTACAGTAGTCCAATCTCAAGGTGGCCGTCGCATGGATCTGTGTAGCTGGTAAGGCTAGGGAGTCAAAATATTGATAAAGGGAGCAACTAATCCCATACTGGGCTTCCTCTAGGGGGGAGGAGACTTCGAAACATCTCTGCCAGCAGCATAAGATCTAAGCTGTGCTTCTGTTTGTTTCCTTCCTTCCTTCCTTCCTTCCGTCCTTCCTTCCTTCCTTCCTTCCTTCCTTCCTTCCTTCGCCGAACCAGCTAAAGACGATAGAAGGCCAATTTTGTAGTGGCCACTACCTGTGCCTCCATTGTCAAGGAGGAATCCAGGAGTACTCCCAGACTCCTAACCTCCGGCGCTGGCACCAACGGTGCCCCATCGAAAGCCGGGAACGGGACCCCCTACCCCCACGACTCAGGCACAGGATCTCCGTCTTCGCTGGGTTTAGCCTCAACCGGCTCAGCCTAAATCAACCAGCCACAGCCTGCAATGCCCGGTCCAGATCTGCCGGTCTGGAGTCTGACTGGCCGCCCAACATCAGATAGAGCTGGGTGTCATCCGCATACTGGTGACAACCCAGCCCATACCTCAGAGCCACCTGGGCAAGGGGGCGTATATAGATGTTAAACAACATCGGGGAGAGCACAGCACCCTGAGGTACCCCACACTCAAGTGGACGTCTCCCAGACCACTGTTCCCCTAGCACCACCCTTTGTCCCTGGCCCTGGAAAAAAGAGACAAGCCACTTTAAGGCAAGCCCCTGTATCCCCGCGTCGGCGAGGCGGTGGGCCAGCAGCTGATGATCGACCATGTCGAACATGGCCAACAGGTCAAGCAACAGCAGCACCGCTGAACTGCCCTGATCCAGGTGCCTTCGGAGGTCGTCAGTAACAGCGACCAGCGCTGTCTCCGTCCCGTGTCCTGGGCGAAAGTCAGACTGGAAGGGATCTAGGACGGAAGCGTCATCCAGAAAGCCCTGAAGCTGTGCCGGCGCCACCTTCTCAATTAATTTGCCCAAATAGGGCAAATTGGAAACAGGCCGATAGTTGGCCAATTTGGCCGGATCCAAAGGTGGTTTTTTCAAGAGAGGACGGACCATCGCTTCCTTGAGGGCCCCCGGGAACCGTCCCTCCGAGATGTTTAAGCCTTGAAGTGGCCAGAGGTGCAAGCTTGTTAGCTTGTTAGCTGAAGGTCAATAGTCAAAGGGCTCTGGGCCCTTGGCTTGTAGCCTGTGGCTGTTTGACTGTGGCTCTGAATGAGCTGGGCACATGGATCGAGGATTAGCCTAGGATGTGGGGATTTTTTTCCTGCTCATTTAAATTGTATTTTTGTACCTTTTAAGCCACTTTGGGTCCCTGTTGGGAAGAAAAGTGGGTTAAAATGACAAATAAATGGGCTGCTGCTGAGCCAATGAAGAAATGAAGGCAGAGTTGGTTGCAGGAAAGTTGTTTCATGTGATGGCCTGAATGTTTTATAACTTATTTCCCCGATGGAAACAGCGTCTCATGTATGAAAATTCACCATTTGCTTGTGTGAAATGGCCTTGAGCCACAAAGGAGAAAAAACCCTAGTGATGTCCTTCACCCCATCATGCCCAAAGTAACTTGCAAACTTTGTAATAAAACTGACCCAGGCATAAGGACCTTCTTCCACTCACTTTGGCCTATCCTTTAACCAGCTTTTTTTTTTTTTTGGTCTGGTTCCTTTTTTGAAGACTTTCTATGTTGTTACTGCTAAACCATTAAGATGTGTGTGCATAGACTGCAAAATCATTAAACATAACAAAGGAAACAACTGGGTTAATTTTCTGTTTCTTCTCTTTCCCGTTCTTTCAATCTTGTTCCAGAAATTATTCAAGGTCATTGCTCCTCCCCTTGCTGCTGGCAAGTCTCTCTCAGGTACAGGATATCTGTTAAGCACTTTTTCATTGAATAATTCATGTTAATACTAATATTCTGAGTTCATTTTGGAGTGTTGTTTGATCTGTTAACTGAGACAGTGAATGATAGTAGTTTTTCTTTTTTCTTATGCTCAGTCCATTCTGTCTTCATGTGCTCACTGATAATTGGCTTTTTTATTCCACGTGAGAGGATTTGTATATAAAACTGGTTTTCATTTACATATTGTGTGAAACTAGTGTGCAGTTTGTCATGAGCACTGATCCTAAATGCATGTCATTCATAACAGTGGCTGTGGCTTCCCCATTTGTGTGCATATGAGATTACTGTATGTAGTAAAAGGGCCCCCACAAGCACCTGTTTGTACAAGTGTTTCCTCTAAGCTGAGTTAGTGAGAGCTAGCTCACAGTTTTTTAGCCTCCAGCTCACACATTTTTGTCTTAGCTCAGGAAGGAGGGCTCCAGAGCAATCTAATTGATGCAGGAGCCAAATCGCTCACTCACAACTTTAATGCCAGGAGCTCACAAAGCAGAATTTTTGCTCACAAGACTCCACAGCTTAGAGGGAACAGTGGTTTCTACTACTGGATATGTGGAGTTTAGTCACCTATCCTGAAACTGCTGGACCTCAAAGAAGAGTTACCTTTCCAGCTGTACTCCACCCCCTCAAACAGAATTTGTTCTGATTGCCATCAGCAAGTGAGAGACTAGATGGGTATTTGTCTGGTAATTTGGAACCATAATCCTCTCTTCCTGTCTCTTAAGGGGCTGTTTTTTCCAAATTCAGAATCACTTTTGTACTGCAGACCACCATGAATGTTGGGGGAAATCTTGGAAGTCTCATTTTTAGACTTATTCAGAACTAAGCAGTTATCTCCCTGCCTTCTCATGGTATCTTGGTAAGCATGAGCCAAGTTAGGCTTTATATGTGAGTACAAAATAGCACCAATTTCAGAAAAAGAGAACTTTAATTTTTTTCTTGAATAAGCAGTCATTGGGTACAAAAAATAAAAGCATACAAGTGAGCAAATATTGACAAACATCATATGAGCAAAGGAAAATAGAAGTGTCCTACACAGATCTTTTGCCCCTAGACATAACGAGGTAGTTAAACTAAACGTCTTACATTTTTCAGACTACTTGTTTAGGCTTTGTTCATTTTTCCCTTCCACAATCCTGTTGGCCTTCACTTCTCCTTGAAGTCTCACTTGCCTCCACCCTCTGCTGCTCTGATCATCTGTATCTCGGTCTGTTAGAGCCTGTCTGTACAGCCCATAGACTATTTCCCTTGTTACTGAGCAGAAAATTACCAGCAAAAGGAAGAAAAAATTCCAGCAGTCTCCATTGCTTACATGTAGCTTCACAGTTATCTGGCCAGAATCTTTTGTTTTCTGGGTTACCCCCATAAACATATGAATCAGGATCTTGCTAATTTTGCAAAGCAGACTTGGAAGGAATTAAGAAGAGAAAAAGGGTGGGTCAAATTTGGGCTACCTCACAAGGTGGTCTTTTGTTTTCCTTTGAGCATTTACAGAGTGCATATACAACAGCTGACAGCCATCATTGTGTATAAGAGCATCAGACTAGGATCTGGAAAAATCCAGGTTAAAATTCCCAGTCGGTCATGGAAGCTTGCTGGATGACCTTGGGCCACTGACAAACTCTCAGCCTAGTCTACCTCACAAGGTTGTTGTGTGGATAAAAGGGAAGAGGGAGAATGTAAGTCCTTCAGGTCCCCAGTGGAGAGAAGTGGGGTATAAATGAATTATCATCCACCTTGCAAAATGGTAAAATTTTTGCACGGCTACATGTGGTAAAGTGTCATTTCACAATCTATATACTGTGTTCTTACAAATTTCTGTATTAAGTGACCTCAGTCACATAAGCCTTTTGAGCTTATGTCACATAAGCCTTTAAATAGTGTCTCCTATTTATTAATTTAAAAATAGCAACAGTATTTCTTTGGTATCGTTAATCTTACCTGGAGTGAAGGTTTCTCTCATGAACCTTCTCAAATACTTTAGCATACAAATACAATGACTTTTGCACAACCATCTGTTAGAGCAACGTCTAGATAGCCTTTCAATAAAAAGCACTTTGGCAGTTTCCATACAGGGACAGCTCTCCATGTAGCTTTTATTTCCACTTTAAAAGAAAAGACATGCACATATGGCAGCTCCCCCTGTCTCAGTCCCCTACAACATTCCTTACTCTCAGCAGCACTGGAGAGCTTTGGGAGACTTTTAAGAAAATCAGCAATTATACATCACTATAGCATTGTAATGTTCTAATTATCTGTTTACTTATCTCTGATTTCTCACCCTTCATTTTAAAAAGTCTCTAGCCCTTTTCTTTGCAGATATTTCCCTTTTCCCTTGTCTTAACTGAAAGCGGGGGGGCTGGATAAACGTTTTAAAAATGAAAGCTTGGAATTCAAAGGGTGTATTAGACAGATCATTATAACATTGTAATGCTATGGTGATATGGCACCATTGCTTTTTTTTTTTAAGCAGTGCTCCAGGCGCAGGGGGAAATTATGGCCTTGGGGGGTGGGTGAGGCTAGGAAAATGGTGCTGATGTGGGCAGGACTTGGAAAAAATGCACACCTTCCTATCTACGTGTCCTACAAACATTAACTGTTATCTCTCCAAAAAGATTGTACAAAGCAATGTTTGGCAAAGATTGCAGCAAAGTGGGAGAAAACAAAGTGGACCACTAGGGGATGACATGTGGATTCTCCAGGGTCTGTGTGGGAGAAACTATTCTAGTTTGGATGCCAAACTAGAACAAAATCTCTGATGGGGAAACAGCCTAAGCGAACCAGCATTTATACCGAATTTTGGTAAACCAAAACATGAGCCTTAAATAATTTTGCCCTTTCTTCAGTTCAAAAGATGATCTAATCCTTTCCCCCTTCCCTAAATGTTTCCGTAGATGAGCAGGTGATTATGGGCAACAAGCTTCTTGTTTATATCAGGTATGGTGCTTCCAGTGTTATAAGGTAGTTAATTGCTTTCTTTTGTTGTCTGGAAAGTGAGAGACAGGCTAGTATGTCACACAGTTAATTGATTTAAACACCATGCATTGCTATTAGCTTTAAATTTCTTTCCTGACGTTTGGCAAGCCATATCATTCACTAACAGTGCTGTTCTAAGCAGAGTTGCTCACCCACCTAAGCCTTTAGTGCACTTAGAAGGGTGTAAGTAAGTAAAACTTTTAAGGCAATTAGGACACACAGAGGGATATATACAACTGTCAGAAGGGTATAAGTCCATTTAGGATGGCTCTGTAACATTAATCAGTAATATGTAATAATGGAATGGATCCTTGCAGGGTTACACATTGGGTGAAGTTGCACACAGTGATAAAACATGGTTCTTCTGAATGCTCTCTTTTATTCTTCTGGTGAAGGGACAGCACATATTCAGCACGCAAGGTACATATCTATGATCTGTAGCTTATAGACAGCTTCTTAACTTCAATCGTTAAGGCAGTGGGATAGTGTTATAGTTTTTATTTCTTATTAAGCATTATTGCATGTGTAACTTTAGCTTGTTTGTGAAAAGATTACTGAAGGAGCACATATGTTGTTAGAACTTATAGCTTGGTGAAAATAACGTTTGTGATTAGCTCTTTCTTGAAGTTTGTTATACATGTGCAAAAATGTTAATCAGTAATATTTCAGGGAATGACAATTCTTCTGTTGTCTTTGGTCTGTGTCAGATGCACATCTGATGTTGCTCAAAGAAAATGGTTGCTTCAGTGTGGGGGACAATTCCATGTTGTGCACTTTCTTGTCCATACTGTGACTAAACTCACTATGTATATGTTCTTTCAGGAAAGATGGTACTCAAGTAGGTTTGCGAACTATGCAGTAAACTTGGGGGGAAATCCAGAAGGTAAATGTTTATATAATAACAAGAAAGGGGACCCACGAAAATCGCGGGGGGGAGGAGCGGGGGAGCTCCACACAGAGCAGGGGAGGAGGAAGAAGCAGGTAAGCTTCCCCCCATCCCGTCGGTTCCCCCGTCTCCTCCACCACCACCCCTCGACTACCACCCCCCGGCTCGCCGCCCCCCCAGTCTCTGTCTCCCCCCCGTTCTCTCTCTTCCCCCCCAGT